TTAAATAGTTAGGTTATTTTGTTAGCCTTATTTGAACTGCTTATGAGTTAGGGCAAGTATATTATAGGCAAATTTTCTGGGTGTTTATTTGGTGTTTCTTCCACATAATTTTTCTTTGATGCGTGTCTTAATGCTGTGAAAGTTCTGTGATTATTTTAATGTTAGAAGGGAATAGCAGTGGTGGTTTTTATTTAGCTCATTTGTTTTAGGAAGGTGTATTTTAATAATAATCGTGTATTAGAGGAGAGCCTTGTCAGATAAAAGGCCTGACTTGAACAAATAATTGTGTGTCCTAGCCTTCACATTGGTATCTGGTGTCTGCTGCTTTCAAATCTATATCATCATTGGAGTTCTTCTTTTAATAAATATGTTTTCCCTATTATTAGTGGAAAACTTGTGATTTCAATTTGTGCTTTGATTTAGACAGTAAAAATGTTAAGAGAAAAACCTGGTGAAAATAAGCCCATGTAATTAATTTAGAATCGGTTTTGCTTTGTCAGCTTGGTTTTAAAGGGAAAGTTTAAAATTCTGATCTTTGTAAACTACACAAGAACATAGTCAGAGGCAGATGTGGGTCCGTGCTACTTTATAGTATTATTTCTTAATGTACCAGTCATTTTAAATATTTTGTTTTCTTGGAAAGAGAGTGACTCCATTATTGCCTTAGTGTGGCCCTTGGGGATAGCCTTTTTTTTTTTTTTTTTTTTTTTTTTTTTTTTTAAAAAAAAAAAAAAAAAAAAAGAGGACCTGGATACACAGATTTCTCGTAGGTGCCTTACCAATAGGTAACACGTGGCGTGGCCGCGCTTTATTTTGTCCTTTTTGCCTTTGGAATGACAGTATTATTTAGTATTGTTATGATTACTACACTAGTCACTTTTCCAAAATATTAGGTTAATACCAGTCTATAGGCCATAAAATACTAAGTCACGTTGTTAAATGGTGGAAAAATAAATCTTTTTTGGCTTTTAATGCATTTAGTTTCATTTTTGATTTTAGGCAAATGGTTTGTCTTGGGTGGGTGACAAATGTTTTTTGCTATTGGAAACCAAACTACTTATTGGTAGGGGGAAGTTTTTTTTGTTTTTTGTTTTTTTTTAAGAGATTGAAATCAGGTTCGTTCTGGATTTTTTTTTTTAAGCTAAGAATTTAGATTAGAGCAGTTCCAAAAGAAGTGCTGGGTCTGCCCAGATTCCTAAGATCCTAGGGAGTCCACATTTGTACTGAATCCCATTTATGCTGTTTGATCTTCAGTTTTGTAGAATATAATGCAACATAATAAAAAAAAAAAGTCTTTTTTGCCATTAAAAGGAAAGCAATTAGTTGTTACAAAGCAGGAAGCTGCAGAGTCCTTCCTTATTACCTTAAACTGTATGTAAGATCCAGTTGTTGCAAGATGATTCCCCCTCTTCTCCCCTCATCAAATCTTAGGTTGGCTGATATTTCAAAGCTTGTCAAGAGATTGTTACAGCCTGAATTTATGTATTTACCCAGGTATGGGTGGCTGCTCTCTAGTTAGGTAAACTTAATAATAGTGATTCATAGAAAAGGCCTGTAGTTTAAGAAACAAAACTCAAAATATTACAAAAGTATCTACAGTTTTCTATTATGTTATATGGGATGAAACTGTATAGCTTGAAATTTTTATTAAGGACTTTGATTTTCATGTTATTTAATTTTGATGATTTTTTTTTTTTGTATTTGCAGTAGTAACCAGTTTTAAGACCGCTATTATAAATTTGCATTTATGTTGACATTAAATCAGTAAATATATTCTTGGGAACATGTTCTTACCTTTGTAATGGGAACCCTAACCCTCTTCCTCTCCCCTTTTGGTTTTGCTTATCTGTATTTAAGAATGCATTTTTGGCTAGGCTTTTGGTAGCTACGTTTTTCTCAGTATCATATTGTGTGAAAAGTGTGTCATGGGTTTGGAAATAATTCAGATCATACTTGGACACTTTGACTAACATACTTAACCTCTAAATATCCTGTTTCTTTACTAGAGTCAAGGAGAATAACTCTGCTATAAAAATAGCATTATTTCTGGTTTGAGAACTGATTTGAGAAATACAGGACAAGCTACAGGAAGATTATTAATAATTTTACTGAACACAGTCATCTTTTAAAGAAAACAGGTGTAGCAGGGCATTGAATTTTTAGTTCTGTTTCATATTCATGGACCCTGTTCCTTTGTAATTTGGGCCTGTGTACGTGTACCTACAGAAGACTTTTCTAGGGTAGACACCAAAGTTGTAGCCACCAACATAGCTGGCTCTGGCCAGCCCATGCAGTGCGGGGAATCCTTTATTTAACTCTATCCTCTCTGGGGAGGGTGACTTAAAATTTCCTAGGGGGTCCATGGAATGTCCCTCCTTGTTTTGCAGGAGGTTGATGTGTGTATGCTGTGCTGCCTCTGAAGCTGACCTGCTCCTTGTGGGCTGTCTTGCTCTGCTCTGTCTCTGCCCAGGTCCTGGAGCCTTGTGCTCTGAGCCATGTTTTGTAGTTCGTGTCACTTTCATTTTGGGCTGTATGTAGATTTGTAAATATGAGGTTGATATTTATGTTTGATTAAAAACATCATGTGTTACTTAAAACAACAGATTTATGGGAGCGAAAAATGAATATTAATAAGAATCCATTAATTTTTTTTTGCAATATTTACATTTTCAAAATGGGTGTTATAAAATTTTTATGACACTCTAACAGTGCTGTTTTTACTTAAGGGGCCATA